AGGATAAAAATCCTGCATCTTGTAAAATGTGTGCCTGAATTTGAAACTTAATGGTACTTGCTATTTTACTTGATTATGAATAAAAATGAATCTGTAAGCCCTATGAAATACTGATGGAAGCATTTACTGGTGGCAGACAGAAGATCGTTTTTGGCAGAGCTTTTGATGCTTAAATATCCGATAGACCCACTGACCACTGAATCCATTTTGTGCACAAGCGCATTGAAACATCCCGCACACTTACACGGAAAAATGTTTTATTGCGGTTTTTTATTGCTAGAATTGGTGAGCAACAGCATATTTAGAAGTTTCCTAGTGAACAGAACTAGTGAAGGTAAACGGAGCGAGTTGCTTAATGATGGATAAAATTTGATTACTCGGTGACTTTTACTCCTTGGGCGCTGATTTCAGTTGCACACGGAAGTTCCAGCTTTGTTGTCATTAATTATTAAAAGTTTAAATTTCTAGTCAACTAGTCATAGTAAATAGTTAACCGACTGACTAATTATAGCTTTGTTTAGCCAATCGACTAGAAACAAACTTGTTTTATAACAACATCCCAGCGCTGTTGATGATTTTCTTTCCCCCGAAGTAATTTGCCGGTAATCTGAAATCTTTATGAGCGTTGTACGGCGTTTTAATGCATTTTTGCACATACGCAAATGCAGAAACACGTATTGTGACGACCCATTGTGTGCGTGTATATGCTTATTTTTTGTGTATATATCTGTGCGTCTGTCCGGGTATTTCAGCTCTGCAGACAAGCAAGCTTCGACGTTGAAATTCTCTCAGTGGGCCCACTGGCCAAGTGCTACTCCAGAAAGTGACGACAGATTTCGCGTAAGCTTTGAGCCCGCTTGCGGGCACGTGAAATTCTTGGAAAGAATTTGTTAACTCGAGAACCGAGAGGTCGGGAAGCTGAAATTTTGAGGAATTTCGACTTAAAAGTTTCAAGTTCAGGAAGATTAAAACCTAAAGATTTCAAATTCAGTCTCCGCTTCTATGTGACTCACACGCACGGGAATATAAAACTTTTGTCGGAAAATTTTTTGCTGAACAACTAGGTCATTTTCGATAAATGATTGTTCAACGGAAAATGTTCATTTTTTTTAGCAAGGTTTGCATTGATTTGCACCCATGAGTACACAAGTTAAATGTATAGCTACAACCATTTCTACTGTTAGCGACTTGATTTCTCGAAGTTTGATGAAAAAGCGCATAATGGCATCGGCAAGCCTGGCGAGTTCCAGTTTGAGTTCATGCTGTGCTGCGACCATCCTCGGTTGTTCGGCGCATTAGTTTTGACAAATGATACTGAGAATACGCTGCTATGGCTTCTGATGACGTTATTCCTAGTGCGACATCTTGTTTATCACAGTTTCGCATAAAGATTCCCTCGGCAATTGGTTTGATATTAAATACTGAAGTAAATTAGCCAGCTGATATTAAAGTATCATTCTGGTACATGTAAGGCGCTTTTGAGTTTCTTTTTTTTTGAGGAAGGGGTGGAGGAATTCACTGGCAAGGTTGTTGATGACATCTTATGATGAAATTATTAAAATTGTCAAAAATGCCTCGGCAATTAGTATTTTATAAGTATTACATTTTAGTGATGTTCATTGGAATTCCAGCATACAATACTGGAGCTGTAGCTCCTTTATTCTGAACCCGAATGCGATCATTTAGTTCCCACAGATTGATCATAGTATAATATATACGCTATTTCCGCTACCTTTTCGGAAGCTGTCTGAGTGGGGCATTTACTTTCTCTAAGTATCTCTGTCTGGTAGCAACGCCCGCCAATGAACAACAGCTTATCATGCACGTCGGATTTTACTTTCTTACCACACTGCTTAGCAAAGTAATGAAAAAATGTGGAATTTATTTTTTCGAAAACAAATATTTGACTTTTACATAATCTGTAAAAAGGCTATTTCCCCTACTCTCGCAACCGCCATTAGAAGAATTCAGTCAATAAAGTCTCTCACCGTGATCTAGAACTAACAACATTCAAGATGAGGTGGAAAAGCTTAAACATATACACCAGTGGCATCACAATGCAAGTGATTTTGCCCGCTGCTTCTATCGTGAAAACTGCTGAGCTAGGATTTCCTTCAGGAAAGGAAACGAAGGTTGTCGTCTCTACCGGCTAATAATGGATGCTATTTTCTTATAAATCACGGAGTGCTTAATTGAACTTAGTAGCTGAAACAAAGGAAATTCAAAAATGAACAATATATTATGACCAAAAAACAAACAAAATTTTTTATGCGTTTTTTGCAGCTATGCAATGCAGAAAACGCATATTGACGAGGGGTTGTCTGCTTGTGTGTCTGTGTGTCCGTGTGGGCGTCTGTCACAGTTTTTCATCACAAGATCTACGAAAGCTACAGGGGTGAAACTTTGGGAACTTAATTTACAAGGACGTACGGGCCCCAATCCCCAAAATGGGCGCTCCCACCCGTGTGGTACCCGTGCACAGGCCCCTGGAAGTTTTTTGCGAGTAATTCGCTAATCGAGAACCAGAAAAGCTAGAAAGCTGAAACTTTAAGGGGATGTTCCCCGCCCATGTAAGTCTCAACGAGCTCAAAACCAATCCTCGGGTATGCGTGGTACCCGTGCACGAGCCCGCCAAAATTTTTTTCGAGTAAGCCCCTAACTCGAGAATTTGAAAAGCTAGAAGACTAATTTTAAGAGAACATTCCCCGTCCACTGAGTCTCATTGGGCTCAAACCCAGGCTTCGGGTACGAGTGGTACTTATGTACGGGCCCATGAAAGCTTTTTCGGGTAAGTTGATAACTCGGGAATCTGAGAAGTTAGAGGACTGAGATTTTGAAACGATGTTTCCTGACAGTCCTGGCGGCCAGTTTAAAATTCTTTCAGCCAAAAGAATCTGCTGGGAAAAACACTGCCGCTAGCGACAAAAATCTGCGGGGAACTATGCGAAAAACGCATCTTCGCATGGGCAGCCCGTGCGTTGGCCAATTATTTAAATAATGAGGTCTAGAGAGCCACTCTTGTGGAGAAAATATGACAAAAGAGCCCCTAAAAAGGCTCTACCTGCGCAGTGAAGCGCGAAAAAAGCAAATAGCTCATAACAGGATCACTCGAAATGACTGCGTGTCTAGCAGCATCGCCATTTGGGAACAAAGGGCAGAAGGTGCATTTCCTACTGTGAAGAAATAGACCTTGTTCTCTCTGTATTTTCCAGTAAGGATATTTTATGAGTTGCAGACAACTACTTTCACCCAACCAATCAAGTGAGCTACTAAATAGCTACAATTGAAAGAGGAATTGCTCTTTGAACGATGCTGTGTAGTCGACTTTCGTCACCTTATTCCGATAACACTCCATTTCACTTCACAGCTACAACGGATACAAAATCTTTGGTGCGGAAGATCCTGCAAAGAAAAATGCTTAGCTGTTGCAACAAACCTTTCATTTTCGTGTCCGCCAATTGCCCAACTGGGAGCTGAAAATCGGGGGAAAGTATATTTAAGTTGGAGGCAAATAGAATGCAGGAAAGGTAAAGAAAATTAGCAACAGATGCAACTTAATGCACAAGATGTCAAGCTTATTACTTAACAGTTCCTTTAAAAAAATTAAAACCCAGGCTGCAACATACGAGGTTTGCGGGTGCGAACATTTGTATCTGCACTAAATTTGCAGCAGTCAGATAGTTTGCTGCAAGAATGGTCACTGTACTATGATTTAACACCTGGACTCCTGTTGGATGTATTTCGGCATATAAGGGAGAAAGGACATCGGCTGGTATGGTAGAGCCGCATTACGGGGTTGCACCCGTCGTGCATCGTTTTCAATTCTGCATAAAGTCGAGTCGTTTTCCCGGTGAGTGATCGTTCATCGAAAAAATACAAATTTAACACAGCACAGGATGTCGGGACAGAAGGATTACGAAAGCCGCAAAATGTCCTTGTTTTCGAATATGCAACAAAACTGATTGTTTGTCATGGCAGCGTGCAGGGAATTTTATCTCCGGGCTGTATCAAGAGAATATAGAATATCCTCGCAAATTTTCAGTCTTATATCTTGCTTGGTTCCTGAGAAAATCCTGCTGAAGAAAATCACATATTTTTTCGTGGCTCCATAGACGAGACCTAGGCGCCATGAGCAATTTAAAACGGGAAGGTGGCAAATTGAATGGGAATACGCCCCCAAAATTTCAGCCTCGTAGATTGTTGTATTGAAAGTCGGTGACAAAGTCCACTCGCTTCTGAACATAAAACACACACACGGGCGTCTCTCTCAGCAACATGAGTTTTTGCTCACTGTGGTAGCGTTATAGTGTGGTTCTGCAGCGGTTACTTTCCTATTTGCTTTTACCAATACTATTTCGTGAGGTGGTCGACCATTCAGTTATTCGAACAATCCCTTCATCTTAAAAGGGGTTAGCAGCACCACTGTTCACCCGACAGAAGCAACTGGCAAAGCTTAATCGTTTTTAAATGTCGTAAGCTAGCATGTAACGAAGTTTCGACGGTACGACTTTTAGAAAATCAAAGCTTTCTTTGTATTTCCTCCCTCTGAGAAAATACAAACTCAAGAAGTAACTCGAGTAGTTGCAGATGCCAAAAACAGCTAATTCCGCTGGTAAAACTACCGTCGGTGGAAATGAATCTTCGTCTTACTGAACGGCAATAATGCTGGCTTTTGTCACTATCAATTCGCTGTTGAAACGAATGAACGAACCACAAAGGAGTTGATTATCCTGTCAAAGGGGTCTACTATTCAGTCTAAAAACTGCACGCAATAATGCTATTTCTTAAAAAGAATTACCTGCTTGTAGATAATGCAGTTTACTGACTAAAAGAATTTGACGCCACCGTGGATAAATCTTGCTTGCTTTTTCTCGCTAATTGTTGCGACTTAAAACTTGATTTTTTGCATTCCGCCTTAAGAGCTAGCGATTTTGATGCCATCTTTTGAGCGCTATCAGTTTAAGTGAAAATTTACCAGCTCTAATTTGTTTTAGCTAAAAATGGACGCGTTAACGCTGATATTCTGCATTTACGTTGCCCTGGGCGCGGTACTTGTTATAGCCAATGGCTACTGCCTATATGTTTTGTTACGGCGACCGATATTGTTGCGCCGCTACTGTGTTATTCTAGTCCAGGTTCTTCTGAACAATTGTTTTATTGTTTAAAGTTCTAAAAAAAAGCGCCAGACGAGTACGTAAGGCAATTTTTTTTTCTAAACTAAAACGTATTGATAGTTTGCTTGTTTAATAAAATGTTCGCACCGTTTAACAACAAATGCCTGTCCCAATTTAGTATCGAAACGAAAGAAAAACTAGTAATAGAATTGACTGCATCACAGGTAAAGTCAGTTATTTAGCCAACAAGATGATATTCCGGCTTAAATAGTCAGTGTAATCCCTACCCATGGTAAGACAGCAGCTGTTTTCTTCGCATCACACTCTATCTGCATAGATGCACTGCATCCGTAAATAATGTGAAGTTATCTGTACAGCATATTAAAGTTGGTGTACAAAGTAGTACGATCACCTATACGGGTAGTTCTTAGGATTGCTGAATTATATATACTAACTTGGCAAGCTTTTTTAAATTTTTCTAATTTTTGTAAATTATAAATTTTTGTAAATTTTCGGCTGCACAACTGCATAAAATCTACTGTACCTGTGTGAACTTGATTAAGGCTTTCGATGACGACTAAAAGTAGTTGTTTTAAGCTGATAGCAACTGTAGCAAATGGAATCGCTATGTTAACATCTGGGATAGCGCGGCTGATCATACAACATATCGACTATACAACACCCACCAGTAAGCGGATATGCATGTTTGCACCATGGAATTTACTATTCGTATGGTGTGATTTTTTTCCTTTTTTATCGCTTATTAATAGTGATCTGGAAACCAAAAGTGCCAGCACTTTGCTTTTAAGCAACCCTCAAGTGAGAGGATAATCGGTAGTCTTCTCAGCGGTGGTTGCTGCTTTCGGTTAAGTAAAGTAAAGGAGCCCAAATTTCCTCCTTTTTTTACTCTAGAAGAATAAGGCTCAAAAACACATTTTGAAATAAAATATTTTATTCAAGAAAATTTAAAAAAAGAAAGACAAAAGAAAAGTAAAAAGAATAACAAAATATTCCTCGGGATCCACTCCCGGATCCCAAGCCCTGATATCCCTGCCAAGGTGTTCCGTTTCCCAAGTTAGTTAATGCGATTTTGGGAAAGCTCTATCCTTGGGAAAGGTCTTCCCGGGCGGGTATATCAGAGCTTGGGATCTGGGAACGATTCCGAGAAATATTTTGTTTTTCTTTTTACTCTTCTTTTTTTTTTGAATTTTCTTGAATAAAATATTTTGTTTTAAAATGTGTTTTTGAGCCGTATTCTTTAAGAGTGAAAAGGGAGGAATTTAGGTTCTTATTTACTGCTACATTCGAATGTCTCTGCATCCCATAGAAAGTCAGTGCGGGGATCCTGACTTTTAATTTTTGATAACATAATTTGAGCACTACTTATAATACCATTGATTCATATTGAATTCGCTGCTTGGTACTACTTATAATTGAGTTACAAAGTAATGTTATGCTTTTTTCTTACTGTTTTGAGCATTTTGCTATAGAATATCAGTGGTGATACTGAGTTGCAGGGCTGAACCGCTGGAAGCCACTTCGCTGTTACTGTTGAGCACCGATCGATTTTTTGCCGTATTTACGCCGATACTATATTTCCGGAAACATTATACTATTGAAATTACTCAGGTTTGGCGATTTTGTAGGTATCTAAAAAGAATCAGCCGATAGCACAATGCTTTAGCCTGATCCTAATTGATAGTTGCCTTATTATTATCTAAAGCGATAACTTTGGGAGAGGTCGTGGTGTTTAGCACCTATCAAGGGCATTTCGAAACAGCTAAAGCCTGATTCGAAAAGCGTTAATTTATCCAATTAGGAGGAGAAACGAACGCCGAAATCGTCAGCAGAGTGCCGATTGTGTCGCAGAAAACGCGCGAAAAGCCAGCAGAGGAATTCTTCCGACAAAAAAACAAACTCCCCATAAAAGATGGGAAAAAGCGGTGTTTTCTATTTTAAAAGCCAAAGAAGACACAGTTGGTGTGCTCTCAGGCTTATCGTCGGACACACTGCATGCTGACGGAATTGATAGCACATCTCGCCCGGATGTGAAGTCGATTAGATCGTCTCGTTACCGCGCCGCAACCATTTTCCAGAAATGAATTCTGTCCATAAGACATCGAAAGGTGTAGCATTGGTCATAACTACGGGGAAAGTTCTAAACTGTATAGATGAAAAATCACGCTATAAAAAAATTATGAACGCAAGTAAATTATCAAAAAAAACCCCAATCTTTTGCACTTTTATCCAATCATTGTTATTGTATGAGGGAAATTTTTTCGTTTACAGTAAATGAAAGTGAGCGTGGATATGAGACTGTCCACTTCTGCATAAATTATTGTTACTTTGGCTAATTAATTTCGTGTAGATGAAACATTTTAAGTTAAAATGTGAGTTTCCAGATAGCTGTTTGTGTTACTGCAATTATTGTATATACGTTTGCAAGTTGGGTTTTCTCATGGCTGGAAACTGAGCCTATTGTTTCACCTATGTGCTGGTTAGTTCTGCATATCGTGGGTAGCATATTTACATTGTGTCTCTTTATTTCCGATACACTGAAATGTCTTAAGCTTGCTTCCAAATGGCCGATCATTTAAAGTTTTGTTAGTGACCACTTGCTAACGGTGGTGTTTTAGCTACCACAGGACTAGTTTTGGACGCCAGCTCCTTCTCAAAAAGAATTTAATGCGAAGGAAAAAAGAAGTTGATTTTCAGGTCACTTAAACTTGTGACATTAATTAGCTGCCTGTAAATCATCTATTGTAGATGTTTTTTTTGGTTCGTGAAATAGTAGGTGAAGTGAAAGTGTAAAAATTAGGAAGAATGGAGGAAAGGAGACTCGTGAAACTTAGAAATGAGAGCTAGACCAACAAAAAATGTCTTGCGCTGAAGATTGAACATGCAAATTAAACTTTTTACCTGATTCAGTTTACTTAGGAAAATGTGTGTTCGATTCTTGTTCATGACATTAAAAAAATTAGGTGTCTTTTTTCGTCGCTTTCCATTTGGAATTTTCTAGCTTCTCTTTAGGAGGCAGGTGCTTTCCATTCACTGCTACATTTTCTTTGACAAACGGCAAAATCAGCCTTTCAGAGAACTTTAAATAAATAAAAATTCCGGTGCTACAACTTTTTTAACTGGACCGCTAGACAAAGCGAATTATTGAATGCCTAAGCATTAAATGAACATAGAGCGGCCCGCCAATGAGGTGGAAGGATCTTCGGAATTATTTGGTAAGAGAGACTCAAAATAGAGGTAAATGGAGAAGATGCCAGCTTGCATCAATGGCATGCTGATTAAATTAACTGTATAGAAAAGACAAGGCATCAGAAATTTTATTGATTTTAAAAACTCGAAAGAAGTTTTAGGCAACAAATGATTTAGTTGGACAGAACAGTCAGTATCTACTTTACAGATTTAATTAACTTTTTCCCAAGCCTGTGGTGCTTCGAAAATTTTTCACACTGATCTACGATGTTTGCAAAAGAACGTGTTTTCTTATATGGCTCCCTAGACTCTTTTCTTTGCAGGACATCAAAAAGTCAGAATCCATTTTTCGTTACATTTGGACTGGTAGTTACGATTGGTGCATCAGCAGGCAGTGTGTTATTGTACATTGTGGTGTACGTTAAGGCACGATCCTTACGGAAAACAATTAAAACTCAATCTGTTAGTTGTTTGTCTTTATCATAAATTATTAAACTTGCAGTGATTGCAGAAGGGCAGTTTGATCGTGATTTTTTCGGCCCACGATTGGCAGAGATCGAGGCATAGCTAAATCTTGCCAGACACTTCATTCACTGTTCACGGAAGGAGGGATAGCCAACAGGCTGACCATTTTGCGAAGCGGCATTGGGCAGTGCAAGTGGGAATGTTGTCAAATACTTAGTTAAATGATTATGATACGAACAGCAATTTGTTTGAAAACATTAAATATAAGCTGCAGTTTTACAAACAGGCAGTGAGAGAAAAAATCCAGTTTCACACTTTTACAGTCGTTCAATAAATAACGCATTTATCGTTTGAACTGAAATCATTGGAATCCATCCTCTTTATTATGTACCTCCCTCAGTTTTTATCGCCATTTCGCGGGAATTGTGCGAGACATGAGGGCTTGAAAAAGTATCCCTTACATTTTTTTTTATTATTAGGAATAGCCTTAAGAATGAATTCCATTAACACTTAAAAAATGCCTCTGAAAAAAAAACTTGAGGCTTGCTCATTCTGCCATCCCTTGATAATGCCAATGTCAAAAGTCAAAATCCACTCCATATACAGTATCTAAAATAACCAGCAAGCGCAAACTGGCTGCCCGTGCGAAGATGCGTTTTTTGCACAGTTCCCCGCATTTTTTGTCGCTACCGGCATCGGCTTTTTCCGGCAATTGCTTCTAGCTAAACAAATTAAGACTGGCCACCAGAACTGGCAGGAAACATCCACTTGAAATTTCAGCCCCCAAGTATTTCTGGTTCCCAAGTTATGAACTTACTCGAAAAAAAATGTGACGGGCCCGCACGCGAGTGCCATGCTTACCCGAGGGCTGGGTTTGAGCTTATTAATACCTGTTTGAACGAGGAACATCCCCTTAAAATTTCAGCCCCAAGCGGTTCGCGAGTTATCAATTTACCCGTAGAAAACTTTATTGGGCTCTTACGCGGGTACTGCGCGGGTAAGACCGCCCATTCTGGGGATGTAGATTAAGTTCCCAAAGTTTCGGCGCTGTAGCTTCTGTAGGCCTCGAGATGAAAAATCGGTACAGAGGTTCTGCGCACGCACAGACACACACAGACAACCTTTCGTCAATATGCGTTTTCTGCATTGTATAGCTGCAAAAAACGCATAAAAAATGGAGGCGCTTGGAGTTAACTCATATTAGCGTATCTCGATCTAAAGAATTTTTTGTTACAGGTTCAGGCATCAGTTGCAGCATTCGAACGACGGCAACTGAAACTAACTCGTACGATGTGTGTTTCCTGCGTAATGACAACAATTTTTTACGTGGTTCCTTCGTGTATACGTTTCATCTTCAGTGGCAAAGTTGTGCAGATCACCGAGTTTGTGACTGCTTACAGAACAATCAGTTGCAGCATAAATCCGTTTGCCGTGATCATGACGATTTTTGTGCTGCAGGAAGATATCCGACAAGCTGCTTTCGATTCACTCCCTCAGTGCTTAAAGTTGCTTTTATTAAAATATGGTCCACGCCTGAATCATGTGTCTATTACGAAAGTTCTGCCGCATTATAATCTCGCTGCTAAAAGGGGAACAATATAGTGGCATAATAATAATAGTAATAGTAGTAGAGACAATAATGACAATAATAACAATAATGATAATAGGAGATGACGACGACAATATTTGTTATATAATATCAGAAGCAAAAATCGATGTAAAAACTAGCTGTACCTTTGATCAGCTGCATTTCCCTGTGAGGTTCTCCAGTTGTGCAGATGAGTTTTCCAAACTGCTTTGACCAACGCTGCTTTACAGTGTGGTCAGCATACTGATGATTCTGAAATCCGTTTGCCTCCAACTCTCCTTGTTCCTTCTCACTTCTTCGCTGCTAGTGAGAACCCTTTTTTATGCGTTTTTGCTGTGCAGCGCTACAGCGAGCAAAAACGCATATTGTCGAAAAGTCATCTGTGTGTGTATGTGTGTGTGTGTGTGTGTGTGTGTGTGTTTGTCTTCGGAAGCAATTGAATTCTGTTTTCCACCTTCAACTCAGCAACCAGGAAAGCTGGAAAATTGAAATTTTGGGGTCGTATTTCCCACTGCATATGCCACCCTTACGCTTTAAAAACTTCGCTCATACGCGTCTAGATCTCGCGTACAGAACCACAGAAAAAATATGCAAATGCCTTTGGTGGGGAGCTTCAAAAATAAGGACCTTCAAAGACATCTGTAGCGAAGTGACTGTTTCGCTTACTTGGCGAGCTGCGAAACTGAAAGTTTGCAGTGGTATTCTATATTTACATTGTTCTTAATTCAGCTTGGAGGCGTGAAATTCAGTGCACACATATATGTCAATTTCTCAATTTTATGGCAAAAGCAAGTGCATTTTTCAGTTTTCATGAAATCATCTCCCAACTTCAAATCTGCATTTTTTCAATGGACGAGCATTCACCGGAAAAACCACAGGGTTTCAAACAAAAAACTAATAATCATGCACGTTGGAGGTCTATTCGTCTTGCATGTGGAAAGAAGTCAAAACACAGCCAACACGAGTCTAAGTGTCTAAGCACAAAGCAGGACCATTCCGAAAACTCAGCGCAAAAATGCATGGTCGCACAGGTAGGCTTGATGCTTTGCAGCCTGGGTTTTTGCATTTCACAGTGCTTTTTTCATATGCGTTATTTGTATGCGTCTCCAATGTTTTCGAATATAATGCATCTAGTTGATCAAGGTCATAATAAATCAGCGAAGTACTGAATAAATTAAAGAATAACAAAGGTGAACAATCACACGTAAGCCTAGTTTCATGCAATGATGTGAGCCTCTCTTCTTCTATGTTCAGCTTTTCGTAAAGAACGAAGCATTCAGAAGCAGCTTGAACGATAGCACTTTGCCAACAGCCGTTGGCTCGCCGAGCATTTTCGAAAGCAGCTCAAAGGCGATTTGTCCATCCGGCATGCGACAGTTAGATCCATTCAAACGCTCTGTGATTCTGTCGAATTTTCTCTCACTAACAAGTTCGATCCAACCGCGAAATCGCTGCATCATCGCAGCAATTCTGCTAGCTATTTTTAGATAATATTTTTTTCATTGGAAAGGAAACCGCAAATGACTGGGTAAAACGATCTCACAGTTCTGCCAGAAGACAAAAAATTTGATTGAAATTGATAAATCGACTGACAAGAGCAAATGCATCAGCTGTGGTTCTTTGACCAACCGTGTTGTTTAATCGATGTGCTTCTTATCGCCTTTGATACAACTGACAACTTCTCCGCTCTTCTCTGTTTTGGAGCACAATTTGTTGCTGTTTTTCTTATTCATAATACAACATTTAAGTTACCCATTTTAAAATTACTTCAAAATTGTTCACTTAAATTTATAAAATTGAAGGATTATCAAATAAGTTCGAAATTTAAGCTTATGAAAATAAACTTTTAAGTTATGAAGTTTAATTGCGCCGTTTGTTTTGGAAAATTGCACTTTATTATTGGTCATTTTCAAATGACAAAAAAAAAAAACGAGGTTCGGCGAGTGAACATTTGCAAACAGTGGGAAATGACTGCGTTGTTGTGCGCCGGACGAGTGTAACTTAACATTTACTTAAAAATTCGTTCAATTTAGTTATAAATTCGTCCATCGTCACTGCTTCAGTTTCTTGTCTTCTCTCTCTTTTCCATTTCCCTGCCCCTCTCTTCACTATTCTAAAGTTCGCTCGTAACAGGAAGTAAAAGTAACCTTTATTTTCCTCGCAAAATACCACTTTCCCTTCTGCGACGATTAGATAAATATGCGACAACTGAAAAATTCAGCATCGAAAAGAGAATTGCTGGGAAAAGATGTGTGACTGTGCGTTTCTTAGTGATAAAACGGTCCTTAACTTATTCTATTAATAGTCTGGCATTGCAAAAATGAAAAATACTTTTGTTTGTTTTTGTTATGCCTTTTCGATGTGCAACGCTATAGCGCTGCTAAACCAGCAAAGACACATATTGTCGAGAGGCTGTGTGTGTGTGTTCGGAAGCGAGTGCATTTTGTCACCCACTTTCATCTCAGCAACCA